CTTTATACAGGCTTCTCTGTAGCAGACAACTGATTGAGGCTTGAGGCAGTGTGTCATCAGATCTGAACTTGTTTGTTACTGAATTTGCCCAAATGATTTGGAGTCCTCGACCTTTCTTTCTCATCCCTGCCCCTTTTCAATTCAGCTCGCTTTATTTTTAGGCTGCTGTTGCTTGGTAAAATGCCACTGGGGGGGGAGGAGGAGGAGCATTTTAGTTTTTGTCTTTGTTTCTCACCATCTAATTGGCAACAAATTTGTCCGTGGAGTTTGTTTTGCCCATGACTGTAATTAGTAAGGGATCGCCCTGTCTTTATCTCGACCTGTGAGCTTTTTATCTTATTTCCTCCCCCTATCCTGTTGAGGAGGGCGGCGTGGGAGAGGCTGGGTGGGTGTCTGGCAGCCAGCCAGCCAAGGTCAGCCCACCCCAGCAGCTTAAAAAGATGCCCCAGATTTTGAAGCAGCAGGATCTGTACTTTGCTCTGAAATTCACGCCTCGTGCTGCCTGGTTTTTCCTAATTCTGTGATTATCAGTACAGTGATTTGTATGAATACTAATTTGTTAAACAAAGTCAAAATAAGAATAAGGACAATTCATTTGGCTGGGGTGGAGGAGTGGAGAGTAAGGCCTTTCAACAAATCAGGAAGAAATGGTTTTCTCCTACTAGCATGTGATGTAACAGCATGGATGTAGCAGTATACTTAGAACTTAAATAATTTTCATATGTACCTGGGAGATTTGTTTCCAGTGTTGGACTTCTAATGATTCCACTGGTCTCTTTCCACAATGTAGGAAGAAGAATTTAAATGGCTTTTACAAGAAGAGGTCCATGCTGTTTTGAAACAGCTGCAGGATATTTTGAAGGTAAGGTTAATTTGCTTCATCTGGTTTTTTGTGTTGTGGGTTTGTTTGCTCTGCTGTGTGAGGAATGGTGGTAGATTTCCCCTGGAGGAAACAACTCTTGGTAAAGGGTGCACAGAAAGGTCCACCATGCATGTCTAGTGCTGTCCCAAGTGTTTGCTTGCCCTTTGGTCTTGAGGACACGCTGATTTCCCCTAGATTTCTCGGTTCTTGACCCTCTTTCCTGAGAGCGAGCTGCTTTGAAAAGGCACATGGAGGCACCCAGACCTGTCTGCCAGGCATTTGCCCGAGATGCAAATATTTTCTGGAACAGAGAATCTGGATTTGCCTGTAACTCTGTGATGTGATGGTGGAAAGGGGCACAATAGCCTTTAGTTGACAAGCTACTACTTGTGCAGTAATTAGTAGCATGCAGTCTCCTCATTCAAAACCATTCTTCCCTTGATATACCCACTTCTTTGACAGTACCTGCCCCTTTCAGAGATGTGAAGTGTTTAGCTGAACCAGGCCTGCAGCACCTTTCCGCAGCCTAAGCGTGGGCTGCCGGGTTCAGCTCGTCGAGGCAGCCAGGTGATGAACTGGCCAAAGGCGATTGTATGCATGAGAGTTCACTGCTCTCCTGGAAGGTTAGTTTAGAACAGGCCCAGCCCCTTAATTCTCTGAGGTTTTGGTGGGGTTTAGTGGGTGATGCAAGAGCAGGGGCAAAAATGTGGAGGTGAGGGGTGGGTGCCAGAGGAGGTAGGAGTGCTGTACTGCCGACACAGGATGTGACTCAGTAGCAGGTGACAATAACCTGCAGTATCTGCGTATATAGTATCTGTTTTGAAGAATTTGTAGTAGTTTTTGAAAGTGAAGTGTGATTAAAGGACAGTCACCAGCCTGTATAACTAGTCAGGAGTGCTGGTTTTTGCTCTGGACTTCCCACATGGGTAAGGGACCCGCAGCACTTGTGCTGTGCAGCCTGGGGCAGCGAGCGCACCGAGAAGGGGGAGCGCCATGGCCTGAGAGCATGCAGGGCTGGGCTGTGCTGTGTGCCACTCCTGCTCTGGACAGCTTGACGACCCCTCTGCGTGTTGGCTGCCTTGCCCGGTTCCAGGGTGTGGGGCTAGTGCGCAGGTTTTCTGATGCCTTTCGCCATGAGCTGCATGCACTGAGCCTTCTCCTGGGCTGTGCCCCTCCTTCAGGAGGACAAGGGAACATCTGTGTGCTCTGCTAGGTGGGTTGCAGGAGGCTTGGAAAGCTGACCGCTCCGCATTCGGCCACTTGCCAGAGTCTGCATTTCTGTTCTTGCCTTCTCGTTGTTCCTGGCTTGTGGGCACTCCAGCACTCACTGTGTCCTCTCTTGGGCAGGAGGCCTATCACCGGTTCGCCCTGCCCACCAGCAGCTCGGGAGGAGCTGTCAAGCAGGAGAACTTTGTGCTGAGCACATCAGGGTAAGTGGTCGCGGCGGTCGGTGGGTCGGTGGGGCACCGCTGCTCTGCCAGGCCACTCCGGCGGG